AGGGGTCGCCTAAGACCATAGGAAAACACATATATAATTACATACTGTTTTTGTGATTAATCACTATACTTTAATTATGTTCAATTTGTAACAATGAAACTGGGGGTAACCACAACATGAGGAACTGTATTAAAGGGGCGCGGCATTAGGAAGGTTGAGAACCACTGCTCTAGTGCAATGTTTTTATGTAGAAGTATTACCGTATTTTTTGATGGGAGAGATCATTTCTACTTGTAATTATGTTATATGGGACTTAGTATTTTCTGCATTACTGATGAATTCCAGTCTTAATGGACCTAGAATTTAATATTTTCACTGAAAACAATGGCAGTGTTCACTACACAGATTAATTAAGGACCTTAGAAGTGGTGGTTAACGAACAAGCCATGGAGTGCCACTGCGCCCCACCCTCACCGTAGCTCATTCAAAGTTAAAGAGCAACAAGGTGTCTTCAGCCATAACTCAGGTTTAAGAAAGTTTCTCAAATGCTGACTTTGTCCTATGATAATACTTTGACTCTGGGGTTTTTTCAATATAAAGTTTTTAAATATCGATTTCAATGCCTCTGTTTCCAATGGACCTTGAGCATTCATCTACTCTATCTGCTGGATAAGCCCACCATGGTCCATTCCATTTATAGAAATGAAGCAGGATTTGGGAGATCAGGGTTGAGTTCTATAGCTCTTTGCTTTGCCCTCTACTGTCTAACAATGGCAATTCATTTCCTCTCTTTATCAATCAATCTATTTTTCAAAACATTACCATAAAATCTGTTTTAGCCACTATTTAAAACAATCGGTGCAGAAAACCAGTGAAAAGTATAACGTATATATACTTGTAAGAAACAAGGCTAGATTTGTAGAAAATAACATTTCTAATGAGGAAATTCCCTGATGAACAATGCTTAGGTCATGAGTGTGTCTGTGTCATTGTGGCCATGTTCTAGTCCTTCCTGTGTATGTTTAGTTCTGTTAGGAGCGATATATGTGGCTGGTCACATGGCTGGTGCCTTGCTACAGCTTAGCTCAGAGGGAGCAAGACTAATCTCAATTCATGTTCTTTTGCTTCCTGTTATTAACATGATGCATTCATGGCTTCTGTGTTCATGAACAAATTCTAGGGAAGTGCTCTCCCTCTTCCCCAGATACAGAGGTATTTTCTAAGAATGCATTTTCAAGTGAAGTGTTCTCCTCGCCCATGTTCTCACAAATGTCTGTGTTGTTTATTCAAAGTCCACTTTCCATCTCAGAAACAGAGATGTGATTCAATTTGAAAAGTGGGTCAAGGCAAGAGACATTTATGAATGATTAAAGCATTTTATGTGATTAATTACGGCGTTAGTAGATGGTATCTCAAGTATCTGAATCAAAATATTTTCCCATTCCCGCCCCGTACTGCTAGGTCTTACCTGCAGCTGCTTTTTCCTATCGCATGAGGGATGTTAGGACTTTGATGAATGGACACCCCAGAAGAACATGTCCTGGCGTCTTATCAAAGTTTATGACCATCTGTTTAGGTTGATTTAGCATCTCAAACATTCGTGGAAACTGGGCCTTTCTTTAGAGCTGAGGCCAGAGGGGCGTTTAGCCCCGGCTATACATTCAAACAAGGCTCCTCATGGAAGCTTTCAGCGTTCTCTCTGAAGGAGGTCACCAAGGGATGCGGACACGATCAAAGGACAGGGTTTCATCCCGTGGCTTTAATCCTGAAATGCAGTTATTCTAATGACGGTCATTTAAGAATTTTTAAAGCTTTTTTATTTTTATTTTTTTAAAAATATATTTTATTGATTTTTTACAGAGAAGAAGGGGGAGGGATAGAGAGCCAGAAACATCGATGAGAGAGATTGATCAGCTGCCTCCTGCAGGCCCCTCAGTAGGGATGTGCCCACAACCAAGGTACATGCCCTTGACCGGAATCGAACCCGGGACCCCCCAGTCCCCAGGCTGACGCTCCATCCACTGAGCCAAACCAGCTCGGCAAAAGCTTTTTTATTTTTATTTTGAAGAATGTTCTAAGAAGCCAGCAATGAAGGGTGCCTAGGACTCAATTTAAGAGAGATCTGGGAGGAAAAATTATAGATGAAGGAAAAGGAACCATTTTCCCCCTTCACCTCCAGGGCAGGAGAAATATTGTTTCAGATTCAGTGGGAGACGAGGAGCGTCTTTTTGGGGGGCTTCTCCTCCGGGTACCTAAGAAGTTGTGGTGGGGGGTGGGCCCAGCGAGCATGAGGTGGGCGAGAGAAGACCTGAGGAGAGTGAGAAGCCGAGGCAGGTCTCCCCATTAAATGGATTGAACACCAAGGAAACTACACTCACCTAGGAGCCCTCACCCACATATAGAGCAGATAGCAGCACGCCAGACACTGTGCAGAATACCACCGCAGAGAACACTGTGATGGGATACTTGCTGAGCATCTTTTTTCAGATGCAAAGTGGGACCTTATATTAGTTCAAGCACACAGGTGCACACGAACACAAACATATTTGTAACCATTACAGGTACTTGTTTCTCAGAGTAGAACTATAAGGGAAATGCAATGTGATGAATAATGGTCCCAAGACGGGGTCCATCATAAATGTGTCCTGAGGGGGTTCCTATACAAGTGCTTTACCAGCAGTGGAAACAGATGGGGCAGGCGGTGGGGTGCGCAGCAGGGCCACGGGGGCCAATGGGGCGTCTCCCCAACCCCATCGCTGTCCTGTCTTCCTTCCGGGGAAGATTTCTCTTTTATGTAAGGAGAGGAAAGGTTCAATAGAAATCCTCTATGAAAACGAAAGGAGCCTTCTTCTCAGTCCTTATTTGTTAATGAATTGACTGGTCAGCCCATTATTTCCATGTAAGTTAAAAAAATAAAGGATAAGGACTGGGAATGCATCATAAATTTTGTCTTTACTTAGCACTATGGTAATATAGACACCCAGAGAGACAGAAAAAAAATGACCTCTAGTCAGATAAAATAAGTCAGACAAAGGTGTTAATTCTTTCGGCATAATAAATGAATAGGAATCAAATTCGTGTGTGTGCATGCATGTGTGTAGAGAATCAGCAGTTAGACATCCCTCTCACAATCTGAGACCCCTGGCTCCTGACTGCTCACCTGCCTGCCTGCCTGATCGCCCTTAACTGCCCCCCCCCCTCCGCCAGTCTGATCACCCCTTAACCACCTCTAACCACCTCTGGCTGGCGGGCCTAGATCACACTTAACTGCCCCTTCTGCCAAGCTGGTGCCCCCCAATTGTCCCCCTGCCTGCCTGGTCACCCCTTACTGCCCCCTTTGCCGGCCTGGTCGCCCCTCACTACCCCCCTCTGCCTGCGTGGTTGCCCCTAAATCCCCCCCCTGCGCCTGGGGTCACCCCAAACTGCTCCTCCCCCCCCCGCTCCCCCCCCCCCCCCGCTGGCCTGATCACCCCACGCAGCCTGCTGCTGTTCAGTCATTTGGTCGTCCCTCACTAACCACCCTGCCGGCCTGGTCGCCCCACGCAGCATTCGGTCGTCTGTCTGGTTGTTTCGGTCGTGATGGCCCCTGGCTTTTTATATATCAGGATAGCTAACATGAAATAGTTGGATGAAATACTTCCAAATTTTTCTGCCTTTTCTTCCACGTTTTCTTGTATAATGTGAAGACATTTTTTTTAAAGCTGGACCTCTTAATTTACAAATGATGATCATATGACAAATCAGAGTTTCATACTTCCTATCCTAGTAAAGTTGAAGTGTAATTACCTGTATACAGATCATCCCTGGTAGATTCTAGTTATAGACTCATCCCTATCTCTCTGTCGTGCTCATGGCTTTTTTCCCTGAGAGTCCATGGGACAGGCTAAGTGACACAAGCTAGTTTTAATATTAAGTTCACGGAAAATAGGGCTTACAATTCTAGATCTGAACATGCAAGGTCTCCCAGTGCTGTGCTTCTGCAGCGTGAAGAAGCAGAAATTAACCTCGTCACCATTAATGGAATTGTATTCAATGATACATGAGGTGCATATTTTTTTTCCTTTCTACAAACTTAAAATATAGTAGTGTTCACAACAGTCATTATGCAACTGAGACATTGTCTGTGGCATCTGCGCCTAATTTGCATCTTGTTTACTTGTTGTCTGGTTATCTCATATTTCATGCACCAGTGCTAGTGCCTTGTATCTGACTTCTTAGTAGCACCGAGTCAGCATTAACTTTTGTTTAGGAATATTGAACAGTCTATCCGTTTCACTTCAGAAATTCTTTGCTTTGACGAGAGAACTAGGTTGGTTTTTGGAAAGTTAATATTTAAAAACATAATGACAGGAGAATTGATGTCTAACTTGGCTCTAGATCATAGATCTGGCAACAGTAGCTCTGTGCAGGGCGGAGGGAAAGCTTGCTCTGGCACTGGGAGCTATTGGGGACAAACATGATAAAAAACAGATAAAGTAACAAAATAGGTGGCCAGATGCATTTCCAAGTGTGTCATTTTCTGTGGATGGGATGATTCACTGCCGTGAATATATACATGAGGACGGTGAGCATTCTCTTTATTTTCACTGACAATATTATGAAAAGCAATAATGAAGAAATGCTTATTAATGCAAAATTCAAAGTTTATTGTTTCTACTTGGGGCAAAATTTTAAAATACATATGTACAATTGGATAAAATATTGCTGATGCTAGCTGTAACTTTTAAAAACAGTGTTGGCAATTTTTAATAAAGAAAAGTCACAAGAATATCTGTACACTGTGATTGTTCTTACTAAAAGAAATGGAGAAATATAAACAGATATCCATTCCGATGTGGTTGTTTTTCCCTCCACGTCACGTTATTAACTATGATTATGAGACCTGCAACCGAGCTGGATAGATATTTCTGGAAATGATGCATGGTACGCAGTGCATGCTTCCATTGTGCTCCCTGCCGCTATGGAATAATGCGTCTTATTTGGGAATACAGTGATCATCTCTGTCGAGTCGCGCCGGGTCGGCCTGTGTGCTCACACTCCTCTTTTGTGTACCCTTGCAGATTTCAGAGAGCTATGCCTTCCTACCCAGAGAGGCGGTGACGCGGTTCCTCATGAGCTGCTCCGAGTGCCAGAAAAGAATGCACTTAAACCCCGACGGAACCGATCACAAAGGTAGCGCGGGGTCAGATAGTGAGCTTGAAAGGGGTTTCATTCACAATGGCCATCTGCACCTCACGTTCTAATGGGAACGTGGTGGACTGAAGCAGTTGGACAAGTACCTCATCCCATCTAGTCTAGTGGGACGCAGGGAGCTTTGAGTATCGACCTACAGGGCAGTTCGGTGTCCGCTCTCAGAATAAAGACAGCATTGACTGTGAAAAACAATTTTTTCTAAAATAACGCTTTAACATTCACGTACGGTGTGTATTTGGTGGCAGTTTAGACATATTCGCAGGGAAAGGGAAGTTCCTTTGGTGTCCTTTTAAACCTGCCAGTCCTTATTTCTAAGTGATGAGTAGTATGGAGCCCCTTCGTTGGAAATTCTTACAAACAAATTCTAATCAGGCTTTAGCTTTCCTTAAAACATAGCTAGGCTTATTTTCCTAATCTATACAATTCTCAGATGAAATTAATCTCAAATATACATTTAGGCTAGGTTATTCGAGGATGAATAAGTAGACTGGCAAAAAAACAAAAGAGCGAGTACATAGATAAAGTAAGTTTACAGCAAAAGAGAGAAATGCAAATGTATAAGTAATTGTGCTTAATTACTATACTGCCCTCACTCAGGATAGCAAAAGCCCCCCCGAAGTTAGAAATAACTAGTTTACCTATAGTGCGAATTTGTCGCACGACACCTTTCAAGAGACTCCAGTTATTTTACAATCCATCTCTGACGCTTGCAGTCTCCTAAACACTTGCTCTCTGGGGTCTTATTTCCAGGTGAGCAAGTGGAGTCCTTCTGAAAGTGCAGGTGGAATGCAGGGCCCGTTCCTTACCCATTCACTGTGTTTCCTTGCAGATAATGGGAAGCCTCCCACTTTGGTGACCAGCATGATTGACTACAACATGCCGATCACCATGGCCTACATGAAGCACATGAAACTGCAGCTGCTCAGCTCACAGCAAGACGAGGTAACGCGGAAACCCCCATGTCTGTGATCACAAGTCGGAATGGCGTTGGATAACCATGACTGTCTTATTGAGCGCCATGGCAGGTCGAAGATGGTAGTTTATTTCTTAATGAAAGGCAGGTCACCAGGATTGCACGGACGAAGACCATGGAAATTCCCTGTTTTAACAAACCTGCCTTAGTGCCAGGTGGGAATTTGTTCATTCCCAAGAGGGTTCATTTTCCTTAATGAGCTCCATGGAGCTCGCCGTGGTAAAGTGCTAGAAACTTCAGGGGAAGTATCCCAAATGAATGAGTGTCCAAGCCTTTACACTAAGGCTACTTTGTCTGGAAATCAGAAAAGTTAATAGGTATTTCAAATATAGGTATTTCTCTACCATCCAAATCTTGCATATATTTTATTTATTTTTTAATTTTTTAAAATATATTTATTGATTTCAGAGAGGAAGGGAGAAGGAGAGAGAGATAGAAACATCAATGATGAGAGAGAATCACTGATTGGCTGCCTCCTGCACACCCCCTACTGGGGAATGAGCCCACAACCCAGGCATGTGCCCTTGGCTGGAATCAAACCTGGGACCCTTCAGTCCGCAGGCTGACACTCTATCCACTGAGCAAGCCGGCTAGGGAAAATCTTGCATATATTTTAAAGTTCTATCTCACCTGACCATTCAATGTATTTGTCTACTTGTAGTGATTCTTCTTATTAGAGGTGTTTTGATGTTTCAAATTATTCTACTTAATTTGCATAGTAACAATCTTGCAATGTTCTTGTTGGCATGTATTAAACACAAAATGTGTACTTGTTGCATACTCCCTAGAATGCTAATTAACTCCCCAGTTTAGTTGAAGTATCTCAAAGGCAGGGACCAAGTTGTATATATACCCTGTGTATATTTCCCAAAAGACATACAATATGGGCCTAGTAAGTCCTTATTAACTAGTTAGCAGCCATTAACAGATAAACATATTTAGATTACCTATATTTGGAATAATTTCTCAGGCTAATACATTCTCTCTTCTTTGAAATTTCACTGTAACAGGAATATGATTAAATATTTATTCTTCAAATATAGCATTATTTGGTGAAGTATTATTACATTCTTTTAAAATTACTTTGTTGAGCTAACTTTATAAAATTCAAATTAAATTTTTGGTTTTCTTTATCTGAGCAGATTTAATTTCAAAACTATATTTATAAAATTGTTTTATCTCAAAGACTACACAAGTACACTCTATAAGAATATCTGGATTAACTGCAACAGTAGTGTCAGATTCCATATTACCAGATGGCTCTATGTAAATGATTAAAGAAATTATAATAAAATTATTGGGTTAAAGTCATGAGCAACAATTAATAAAATATCAATGTCAACCCATCCTGAGATTGGAAAAATGATTCCCATGATTCATCACATAATTGAAAAAATATTTTCAATCTCCTTAACTAGTTAGAGCTGTCCAAGGGTTTGTAGAAAGCTCATTTAGATGTTGACATGTTTATTTCTAGGCCATAAAGTAAGAAGATCAACTTTGTACCAACAATAAACCTCACATATGCTCATCCCTTCTGGCTTCTAAAAAATCATAAGTATTTCACACAAAGGAATTGGATTCTTTCAAACATATAACTGGATGAGGAAAAAAATTCTTATCCTTAAATTTTGAAGTGCCAAATTAGATGCACATTGTCTTAAAAATATGAAGATAAATGATGAGATTATTTAGAAATTTTAGCAGTTATAACTATTGAAAGATAGAAAGGTCATTAAGGAAGTTAAGTCATGTTAAAATGACATTCATGTGAGATGGTCTTTTCTGATCAGTTGTATTTAAATTATGATAAATTCAATATTTATTGAGTACCTTTTATGTAACTGATACTCTTGTAGATGAAGGAGATAAACAGTAAATAAATTGACAACATTTTGCCTGCTCTGTTCCTCAATTTCTCAATCTGTAAAATTGGAAGAATCCTGGTGCCCAACTCATAGTTGTGATGAAGATGAAGTGAGTGAACAAATATAAAGAATGGTGTTTGCAACATACAGAGCAGCATTACTACTATTAATTATTATAGTAAAGTGAAACTTTCACATGAGACATTTACAACTGAGAGTCAAACCTGGTGATTTCAATGAAATATTTACTATATTTTACAAAGGTTTCCCAGGCCTTCCTGTCTACATAAGCACACCATTTGTCCAAAAGCCAATTCTCCAAAAGGGGTTTCCTTCAGTGCAACGTCTACTGTGAACTATTTTAGAGGTTGTTTAATATTGGACAGGTTTTGATGAATTGGCCATTTGGCAAACTAGCCTTTGGCTAATTAAGCCATTTGGTGAACTGGCTTTGGTACGTGCATCTTTCACACTTCACCTAGACCTCCGTTTTGTGGTTGCAGTGCCACGTATATTCCCTTGTAAGGAAGGGACGGATGTGCTAGGCTGTCTTGCTCCCAGCAACGCGGCCTTTGAATCTGGCATGCAAGTTTGTCTATTACTAGAGTCCACTTCCTGTTTGCCAATGAGTAGTTTTTGGTTAAGATATTTTGGTTTTTTATTTTAATTGCAATCTAAGATTTTTGCTTATAATATTTTATTAGGTCATTCATTTTTAAAATCGAATCATATTTCTCTTTATGCTATGTTTTGTGATTGACTCTTTAGGAAATTTTATGCTAATTTAAAAAAATCCATTCTTTTGTAATTCAGAATAAATCCCCAACTCTATCCTCCCTAAACATATTATTTTATTTCCTTGTTTTTAAAATATATTTTTATTGATTTCAGAGAAGAAAGGAGGAGGAGAGAGATAGTAGCATCAGTGATGAGAGAGAATCATTGATTGGCTGCCTCCTGTACGCCCCACACTGGGGATCAAGCCGCAACCGGGGCATTGAACGATGATCTCCTAATTCATAGGTCCAGGCTCAACCACTGAACCACACCGGCCAGACCAAACACATTATTTTACCTTATAAATCTGCCCGTACATAGATACATTGCTTGCATCTTCACAAGTCTTGAAATTCCTTAACAGGAGAAATTATTCCATTATTTGTTATTTCAAGTATCTATGAATGTGTAACGTATTTCACTGAGTTCTGTAAAAGGACTGACTAAACTCTAATTGACCCTACTGATAAAATGGTCACTATGTCAATGTATAACATTGTAATCTTGCTGATGATGTTTTGAAATCATTTGCAGGATGAGAGCTCAATAGAAAGTGACGAATTCGATATGAGCGATTCCACGCGGATGTCGGCTGTGAACTCCGATCTCAGCTCCAATCTTGAGGAAAGAGTGCAGAGTCCCCAGGCTCTTCAAGGCCAGCAGGATGGTAAGCCCTTGAAGTTGAACCACACACACCCACGCAAAAAGCAACAACAACAACGGAGACAGAATGTAGTAAAGCAACTGCCTCTTACTCTTGTGTCAACTCGTTATCTGTTTCTGAGGGGACTTTTCTGTGTTCTCAGGTTGTATTAGCCAGTTTGTTATTTTGGGGTTCAAGTACCTTCCTCAAAACTGGGGAGTTAGACTGATTTCGAAACAGATGTTAGTTGTAAAAGTCCAAGCTTGCCCATGTTCTGCTCCCTGAACTACTCTGGGTTTCTCGCTGTGGTTTCTCGGGCCTTCATTCTTCTGACTAAATTAAGAGTTTAAACATGATCATATGGTTAATTTGGAGTTTTCATTTCACTAAAGACAAGGTGGTAACTAAAAACGGTTGACATAAAAAGATGATTTTACCGGAGTGATTTTGCTGGGAAATTGAGCTCCTTTACTCAGCTGTACAGGGAAGAAAGATCATGATGTCTTTTTTAAAAAATTTATCTGGATTGTTGAAAGCATTACAGATGTCCCACTTTTCCCCCATGGACCCCCTTCCCCATGGTGATCTCTTATTTTCCTTGGCCCATTGAAGATTCCTGAATCACCCCATTGTTCTTGACAGAAAGGAAAGCTGGATATGCAGAGAAAGTAGACTTGGTAGTTAAGACACTTAAGGTCTAATATGTTCAGAGATCTTTAAAAACTATCTTTGTAGATTTTTGTCTTTGTAAGTTTGAAGTTATACATGTAAGTAAATGTATTACTTGGGTAATTATGGATTAAAGTTAAGAGTTATAAGTAGAAGGAAACTGGCCAATTTTACTCAACATCGGTTTTTTATTCTTGTAATGAGTTTACGTGAATTTTCTGTGACCGTATAGTTTTGTGCCTACATCTGTAGAAGGGAAATAAAAATATTTCCTTGCACCAGACCGGTGTGGCTCAGTGGTTGAGCATTGACCTATGAACCAGGAGGTCACGGTTTGATTCCTGATCAGGGCACATGCCAAGGTTGTGGGCTTAATCCCCATTGTGGGGTGTGTAGGAGGCAGCCGATCAGTGATTCTCATCATTGATGTTTCTATCTCCCTTGCCCTCTCCTTTCCTCTTTGAAATCAATTTAAAAAAAAAAAGAAAAGAAACACTGGTTGCAAAATATGTGTTGCTGAATTTCTATCTGCTATTAGTGTTTTGCTTGTATTGTAAAGGTTTAAGAAAGCTCTAGTTTTAAGCATGTAAAACATCCAACAATAGGCAGGGAGTTTCTTTTTCACACTACAGATGAGTTTAAAAGATGCTGATGTTTGTTGGCATAAGTTAGGAGTGCATTGATCAGTGCTTTTAAAATTGCATCTCATTCGCCACAGAGTAGAATAGCTAGAGTAGTAGGAAGGACACATCTATATGGGAACTGTCTAAGAATGAAGCTCTGGTTTAGATATGAACTATCTCTTCTAATATATGTAGACTTGTTCAGAGTTGGATTTTGAGTGGAAATTACATTTCACTGGGATAATAGAATAACTGAAAAATATATATGTATTTCTCGCTGTTAATACTTGTTCATGTATTTTATGTGTTTATACTATTATCTGGTTTAGTCTATAACTTTGGAGAATTTAAATAACAAGAAAATGTCATGGTGTAAATTCATGGTTTTCTCGATTGGAACTTCCAGTTGTGGATCTTAGGCTAGGGACAGCGGGTGTGATTTAAACCTACACTGATTTTAATAAAACGTAGTGGAATACCTTCCAGTATTACATGCTCTGCAGAGAGAGCCCTTTCTCATCATATATGGATGTGTGCCTCAGGGATAAACAATATCTAATTGTTTCTTCTCCAACCTAAGCCTAAGCCTTTCCTTATAGTTTAAATGCCTTTTCCTCATACTCCTCATTGAGTTTTCTCTTGAAATCATCTCTTCTTTCTCCTGCATCACAGGTTTTCCATGATCATATAAACATGGTATAATGAACATCCTCTTTAGAAAGCCCTGTGGATCCCATTTTGTCCTTCCATTCATTGCATTTCTCCGCGCCTCCCCATAACACACTTCACAGTGAAACGCATCGAAAGAGTGGCCTCAGCATCTCCGCTTCTTCACCTCTACTTTTTTTGGGGGGGGCTCATCTCAGGTAGACTCATCCTCGCCCCTCTACTTTACTTGCTTTTGTGAATATCACCAGCAGTCTTCATGTTGCCTGATTCATTGGTCAGACCTTATTTCTCATCTTCAACACTGACTTTAAAGGAAAACACACCCTTTGTTTCCTGGTGGGCCTCTCCCTCGCTCACCTCTGTGCGTTCCTTCCCACATCCTAATCTGGGAATGCTGGAGTGCTCTAGGGCACAGCCCTTCCTCTCTCCTCCACACCACTCTCCAGATAATCACAAGGAGCCCCGTGGCTTTCAATACTCTCCGTGCCCTGATAGCTTTCCTGACCTCAAGATTATCTTCCCTATCTATTACCCAAATCCTAACATTTTTCAGAGGACTTATCACTGTATGAAACCATCTTGTTTTTACCTATTAGCTGTTTTTCTTCTAAAATGAAAATACCTTATTAATTAATATATCTTATGCTTTTGATTTCCTTTTAGTTTCTTCATTTGAGATAGTTCTTAAGTGATCCATTATTTACATGATTCAAAGATAACTTTCCACCATAAGCATGATTTGTGATGTCAGTTTTACATATTTTCGATGCTTTCTTTTTTTTCTCCTTTCCCCTGGCAGGGGCACTCTCCTAGGTGTCACTCATAGTGGCAAACTACTGTGTCATTCCTTATTTTTCTCTCTACTTAAACACACAGGCACATAGACATATGTACATACTCAGAAGATTTTGTCATCGTTATTTTATAGAGAGAGCTTCATATAACTTGCACTATTGCTCATGTAATATTATCTTTCTCTTAGAGTTTTCTGCATGCTAAAATATGTATATATAATGGTGAGCAAAAACAAAAACAAAACAAAAAACAAGACATAGTCTCTACCATTATATAACATACTGTCTTAAGTAATAAAAATATACATGGTGACATTCACTTTTGATTAGACTTCATCTAACCAATATGAGAAAATTCCTGCTTACCAAAACAAGAATTCATTGAAGTAAAACTTTTAGTTTATGCCTCTTTCTCAAATCAGAGTGGAGATTCTGGGTGCTAGGTCTAAATAGAGACTGAACAACATTAAATTGTAAAAGTTAAATAAGGGAGTTCTATTTTTTAACACTACATAATTAATTTGTTATTTTAAAGAAATTGAAATATCATCTTGTGATTTTTAAGAATCCTTCCTAGTAATTATAACACAGGAAGTTAGAACAATGTCTTTATTGGACACCATATAAAATGCAGAGTAAAAACCACTTTTTTCCAGTTTTCACCTTCCTATGGTTATAAAGATTTGCAGTCTATTTAATATCAAGGGAAAGAACGAATATAAAATAGACATCATATTAGAGATATAAGACTTCATAATATAAGTTTCATAACGACACATAGGTCAGCAAAAATAGGTTTACAGCTGTATGTGAAACAGTTTATTCTTGTTTATTACTTACTAGAGGCCCGGTGCACAAAAATTTGTGCACTGGGGGGGGGGGAGGGGTGGTCCCTCAGCCCAGCCTGTGCCCTCTTGCAGTCTGGGACCCCTCAGGAGATAACGACCTGCTGGCTTAGGCCTGCTCCCGGTGGCAGAGGGCAGGCCCAATCCCTAGGTGCAGCCCCTGGTCAGGCTCAGAGCAGGGCTGATTGGGGAGTTGGGGCGCCGCCCCCTGTCATGCACAGAGCAGGGCGGATTGGGAGGTTGCGATGCCACCCTCAGTCACGCTCAGGGTGGGGCTGATTGGGGGGTTGGGGCACCGCCCCCTGTCACACTCAAGGCAGGGTCGATGGGGAGGTTGGGGCGCTGACCCCTGTCACGCACAGAGCAGGGCCCATCAGGGGGTTGGGGAGCTCCCCGCTGTCACGCACAGAGTAGGGCCGATAGGGGAGTTAGGGCACCGCCCCCTGTCACACACAGAGCAGGGCGGATCAGGGGGTTGGGGCGCCGCCCTCTATCACCCACAGAGCAGGGCCCATCAGGGGGTTGGGGCACCGCCACTGTCACACTCAGGGCAGGGCCGATGGGGAGGTTATGGCTCTACCCCGTCACACACAGAGCAGGGCCCGTGTGGGGGGGGGGGGTTGGGGTGCCGCACCCTGTCACACACAGAGCAGGGCTGATCAGGGGGTTGGGGTGCCTTCCCCTGTCACGAACAGAGCAGGGAGGATAGGGAGGTTGTGGCCCCGCCCCCTGTCACACACAGAGCCGCAGGGTGATCAGGGGGTTTGGGCGCTGCCCCCTGTCACGCTGATCCCGGTGCCAGGAGCCTCGCGGCTTCGCTGATCCCGGTGCTGGGAGGCATATTACCCTTTTACTATATAGGATAGAGGCCTGGGGGCCAGCTGGTTTGCCCTGAAGGGTGTCCTGGATCAGGGTGGGGGTCCCCACTGGGGTGCCTGGCCAGCCTGGATGAGGGGATGATGGCTGTTTGCAGCTGGTCACACACCCTTCAGGGTGGGGGTCCCCACTGGGGTGCCTGGCTAGTCTGGGTGAGGGGCTGAGGGCTGCTTTCAGGCTGGCGGTTGTTGACTGAAGCTCCCAACCGCTCCTTTTTTTCCACTTTTTTAAATTTTATTCTGGGCCAGCTTTAGCTCTGGCTCTAGCTCTGAGGCTTCGTATCTGGTTTGTTTGCCGTTCTATAATCGAAACAATGTATAACTTCAGCTCTGAGATCCCGGCAGCTGAAAGCTGGTTTCTGGGGTTTTGTTTAGCTTCTATATTTGCAACATAGTTGCTTAGAGTTGCAACTCAGAGGCCGGCAAGTCAGGCAGGGAACGTTGGAGTCCGCAGTCACTGGAGCAAGCAAGCCTCATGTTCGCTTCCAGCTGCCTGGCTGCCGGCTGCCATCTTGGCTGACAGTTAATTTGCATAAGGATATGCTGATT